ATTTGCAGGTGGTTAATGGGTGCGAGGAAATTTGGGACGTTAGTTCTTCCCACCCCTTACTGTATAGAACAACTGGTGCCTGTTGTTAAGCCAGTTTTAAGGCTGAAGAAATTGAGGCTCAAAGAGGTTAAGTAACTTGTCCAAGGTCAAAGAGCTACTAAGAGGCAGAGATGCGATTCAAACCAGGCAGACCTCCATGCCAAAGAGAGCTAAGTGTGGAAGAGGAACAGTGGGTCTAAGCAACAGGAGGTCATCTGCGCCTCCTCCTTCCATCCTGCTGCCCCTTATGCCATAGCTAGCATCTTGTCCTTCTACTTCCTTAACTCTCCCAACGGATAGTTACTTAGCCACCCACCACGCCTCTGGCTCCTGCTAGGCTGAAAACTGCCGGTAGACAGAAACTGGATTTGTTTTGAGTTCCACTGCAACAAATAAATATTTGTTAAAAAAATTTTTTAATTCAAACTGTGAGAGGGTTGGGGATGGATGGCTAGCTAGAGGCTACCTAAGAGTTGGTCTTCTAGACTGCCGATGATCAGGGGGCTATGGTATATCTCAAGAGATTATCAGATCCACATCCTGCTTCTTGTCTAGCCATGGCCCTGCCATAGCAACTAAATCTGGCTTACTGGGGAAAGCACTGACATGGCTTGGTCCTTGGAAGAGCCACTTCCTTTCTCTAGCCCAGGGGGTTTGGATGGCTGCTCTCTAAGTCTCTTCCACCTCCACCAGTGATTTCTGTGGTTTCTCTTTGGAAATGAGCATCCCCTCTGCTTGAATCAGCAGCTCTGGCCCCATTGCCAAGAGTGCCAGCTGTGGTGGGGGGAGGGGGAGGCAGTGGGGGGAGGGGGAGGCACTGGAGCCTGCCAGAATTGCAGTGATGGGCTTTTTCACTGGCAAACAGTGCCTTACACAGTCAGAGAAGGCCAGGTCTTCCAGTACACCAGAAAGTCTGCACATCTACCTCAGTGGTGTTTTGGGACCCACAAGAAGCTCTGGAAACCTCTCTTGCAGAGAAGCCCTCTAGCTGGGCTTTGGAGTCCACACAGGACCCACGGTCCCACACCAGGTAATGCATACCTGCCTCCAGGTCAATGCTTGCTCCTGATCTGGTCTCCCTCCTTCTTCACAAGACTTGACCCCTAAAGACTCACAGTCATTTTCAAAACAGCAAAGCCACCATAAAGGACAGATTCACTTACCAGTGAGGATTTCAGAGCATATGCCACAAACTCTGAGATTATTCCAAAAGTTTCTAGAAATGTCGGAGAAATAGCAGCACATTGGTGTGAGCATATGGCTTTCCAGGGGGCCACTTGGAGGGGGTCATTGCTCCTTTGGAGTTTAAAAGAAGCCTCTAGCCTTACCTTCTCAGAACCCTGTATGCAAAAGCGTGCACACACCATGTGTTCAACACACAGGAACTTGCTGCTGCTGCACAGGCCAGACCAGGAGAAATGCAAAGATGGAGCTAAGGTCCCTGCCTCTAGATTCTAACCCTGGTTTTAAGACTTCCCAGCTATGCACAACAGAATATGAGAACATATAGATACCTACAGGTCATCTCCCTCTCCCATTTTTAGATGGGAAAAACAAGCCCATTATGGGGTGTGAGTGATCCCACAGTCACCTAGGGTATTGGTAGCAGAGAAAGATATTGAACATGAACCCTCACAGCTCAGCTCAGGCAACCTACTTCTGCAGCACCTCTCTATACAAGCCTGCCCTCAAAAAATAAGAAAGATATTAGTACCAGCCTTCCCTCCTGGTGGGTTGTGAGGATGAGTGGATTAATGCGTGAGGTGCTTAGTGGGAGTAAGGAGAATAAACAAGTAAACGCAGAAAAGTGCTCAGAGCAATAAAGAGCAGTCCTATTAACCTTGGGTCCAGAGCAGAAAGGGTGGTGTGGGGGCTGTTAAGTGACTGCCATCACCAAGTCACATCCCTGTAACCTTAAATATTCATGGACCAGAAGTGCACAGGAGAACAGCTGCTGCTCTGCAGCCCAGGCTGTGGCCACAGTAGGGTGTGCACACTTGAGCCCACTTCATGCAGACACATGCGAGGCGGGGGAAGGGCTGGGACCGTGGACTGTAACTCTTACTCTGCTAGGATGGGTTCCCTAGCAGGTGCAGGCCTCTGCAACTCCCTAGCCCTGTGTGTGCAAACCACACCTGCTTACACCCACACACCCAGCAGACGCTCACAGTTACTCACTCAGCCCTGGGCACAAATAAAGGTCAAAGCAACATGCACACATCTTCACAGATGACCCACTCCAGCTCTCCAGGCCCCAGAACCCACCCTCAGCCACACTCCACCTCCCTGCTATCCACAAATGCCTCACCCACCTGCCTTCTTCCCCCAGGGAGCTGTCTCTCCTCCCTCTCTCCCCTCTTCCTGCACTCTTCTGCTCTGCTCCCACCCCTATCACCCCTGTTCCCAGGACCTCTCTTTCCACACAGCCCCTCTCAGCCATCTCCCAAAAGCTGGAACTCTCTTGTCCCCACTCCTAACCTGTAGTTTTGAGGACAAGATTTAAGAATCTGGAACTTGAGAGGGTAACATGAAGGATAGGTGTGAGACTTTGGGAGAAATTTCCATGACCAGACAAAAGTTCAAGGGAAAGAAGAGAACATGAAAGAGACCTAGGCACTCTTGATGACACAGTGAGGGCAGAGGTCTTCTTATAAGATCCTGGTGTGGTGATCCCTAGCTCTGCCAAGAGACAAGACAGTGATATCAGCAGCTCTCCATTAAACGATGACTTTCTATGTGCCAGATAACTTACCTCATATGATACTCAATCCTATGAGGCAGCCCATTTTTCAAAGAAGATTGAGGCCCAGTGAGAGGGGCCTCAGTCCCCAGAAATAGGGATGGGAATTGTGGCTTCAAGTCCATAGTCCTAGAAGGGGATAAGGACTAGACTGATTGACATCATACTTTGGATCCTGCTGAGTATGTGTGGTTATGAGGTAGGTGAGTAGGGAGGATAAGGTAGCAGGTGATGGGCCTGAAACCACCTTATCCTTCCAGCTTCAATGCCTTCACAACTTCTCCCTCTACTGCTCCTCTGGTGTTGGGGGCACATACACACTGGGGGAGAGAGAGACTGGGAAGCCCAACCTGCTGTTGGGGGCCCCACCCTGCTACCCAAACAGAGCAAAGAGGTCCTGCAAGTAAGGTGTGGGTGTAGGGAGGCATTCCGACACCCAAGGGCCAATTAGCATGTAAATGGAGGCCTGAAGCCAGAGCCTTCTGGGCCCACTGGTCCCTATAACTCCAGGCTGACCCAAAGAAAACTGAACCCGATTTGTAAAGTGATCCGGCTTGGGGAGAAGGGCAGGGGAGGCTATTTTGGGAGGTGAGGGGGGAAGGGGTAGGGCAAACTGCAGGCCGAAGGGTGGGAACTGAGGGTTGAAGGGGACCCCTTCCAGTGAAGGATGGATGATCATCAGTCCCCAGAGAACCCACGTCAATCTGCAAGGAACTTGCCAGTCACTCCGTTTAAGGTTAAAAAGAAACACATCTCCTGGCTGGGCCATCCCTCCTCCAGCACTCCCTGTTCTTCCTCCTTCCCAGCGTCTGTCTCTCCTTCCTCCCCCCAAAAACAGCTCTGCCCCTCCCCAATGCCAGCCCCTCCCTCCCTCTGTCCAATGACCCCAGCCCCTAGAAAAGCAAACCCTCACTGGTTAGTAGTGATTGGCATCTTGTCTGATACCATACCAGTAAGTTCTTCACATAGTCTAACTTGCATGCCCTTCAGTCACAGCAGTAGTGAAACTGGACACCAACACTATCTGTAAACAAACCATCCCACCAAAGGAGTTTCCCTCTCCATCTGCCCCCAGTCCCGCATTCTCTGCTAGCAGGCCTTTTCACCTAATTTACAGCCCCATAATTTAGCAAGCAGAAAGTGAAATCTATTTCACAAGCATAATTGTCTCCCCACCCCCATTACTCCTTCTGCCGAGCCCCAGATGGTCCTCTCTCCCCAAGCCCTCCACCCACTCCAATTGGCACTTGAAGAGAGATGCTCCCTCTGGAGACCCTCTGAGACCTTCAGCTCCTTCTTCCTGCCGCTGAGCGGAACTGGGATCCCGCACCTGCCCTCCAAGATTTCACCTCCACTGTAATATTTTCCTCTTAAGTGAGTCCCTCTCCAAGTCTAACCTTAAACCTTCCTGCTGTGTGCCTAAATTCCCTTTCCATCTTTTCTCTATGTGAGGATCATAAATGAAATCCTCTCGCGTTTGTCACTTTCTCTCCCAAACCCTAAAAACCTGCCTCAGCTTGGAGAAGTTCTTGGTAACCGTTCTCTACACCTACTCCCTGCCTACAACTCCAAGGACATCTGGGTATCCGCCCCGGCTGTCGACTACCACCTAGATTGGTGCACTTTCAGGCTTGCTCGCCCAAGGGGCGGTGACCCCCTCAGCAGCTGGCGCAGCCACCAAGGGGTTAAGGTTCCCGGCTAGGAGAGGAGGAGAGGGCCGGGAGGGGCGGGTGTGGAGCCAATCGGCGGCCGCAGAGTCCCCGGAGCCGGGAGCCTGGAGCCGGGAGCCCGGAGCCGGGAGCCACGAGCCCTGTGCGTCCGGCTGGGGCCGGGGCCGGAGCGGAGCGAGAGGGGACGCGCCCGCCCCAGCCCCGAGTCCCACCGACTTCTCTCCAGCCGCAGCGCGGGAGCAGCTGCTGCCACCAGCCATGGAGCAAGACAACAGCCCCCGGAAGATCCAGTTCACTGTCCCGCTCCTGGAGCCGCACCTTGACCCCGAAGCAGCAGAGCAGGTGCGGAGAAGGGCGGGGCGGCAGGGGACGCGCCCAGCAAAGGACGAAGGACCCTGGACTGATCAGGGACCCTGGGTCCCTGCCTCATCCAAGCTCGGCATTACGCCCTTTTGAGGGCGAACGCCCTCAGTTGGGGGGTCTTCTATCACCTTCCCCCCGTCGGAGCCCTGTCTCCCCATCTGTGCTTTGAGATGCACCGAAGGATGAATGTCCGTATATCTGTCCCCGAGAGTCGCTCATTTCCTCCCCAGCCCTGGGGGAGGGGGCCTGCCTGAGGACACGACCCCTCCCCCCTTCAGCAATCTTGCATCCTCCACCCAGTCAACCCCCACCAGAGTTTCTGAGATGGGTGGCCGCGCTGAAGGGTACCAGCAGCAGGGAGGAGGGCAGGGCGGGGGTCTGCAATGGAGGGAGCCTGGTACTATGGGAGTCAGGAGAGGAGCAACAGCTCTCCCTGGGCCCCTCCTAACTGGAGGCGCACTCTGCACCTTGCCAAAATCCAGGGAGTGATAACGGGAGGCCGAGGACAGCCCACAGAGTGGGGTTTTGGAGAGAGGGGCGGTGGGCTCCATTCTAGGCTCCATTCTGCTAGTCCCAGCACGTGGGTTCTGATTCCCAACTCCTGCCCTTTGGAGTGGGGAGTGGGTGTGAAATGGAGGATGTGACACTGGGGGCCAGAGGTGGGTGCTGTCTAGGGGCTAAGGTCTCCAAGCTGAGCAATCTGCCACTGCGGGAGCCTCAGCTCAAGAGGTGGGAGTCCAGGGCCCTGGCCCAGCCTCCTGGCCTGGTCTATTTTTAGCTCAGAACAGCCTGGCAGAGGCAGCAGTGTGTGAGAGTGTGTGAGCAGTCTCAGTGAGAGTGAGCGTGTGCAGAGAGGGTTACTACCTACAGCCTATTGGTCAAATATTTGCCTATTTGCCCATTGCTTCATCTCTTTTTGCACTCTTTGTCCATTTGCCCTACACCGCCCTATTGCTAAGGAGTATCCAGTTCCCACAAGGCCAGTGCTGTAGCCCACAGCCAGCCACCAGGCTCTACAAAAGCCTCCCCACCTGAAAAACTTTGTGACCTCTTGGGATGGGATGGACAGGTTGGGGTTTTGTCATTGCTCCAGCTGTTTGCTAGAACAAGGTCTGGATGTGAAGGGAAAGGGAGGGTGCATTCTCTGTGACTTCAGCTTCCCAAAGACAGGGAGGAGTCAGTGCCTTCCTCTGTCTTGCTCTTCTTCCTGGCCTGCAGAGAGCCACATCTCCAGACCTCTTAGGTGTGGCTGTAGGAGGGGTTGTAATGAGACCTCACAGAACTGATGGGGAGCACTCACTTGGGGTAAAGGAAAAAGCTGTTATGCCTGGAGACAGGAGACTGACTCAGATAACTTCTGACACAAGAGAAAGAGTCCAAGGGTGGTGGGTGAGAGGCTGGAGAGTCTAAGGAAAACTGCCTCCCACTGGCATAGGTGGGGCCTGACACCTGCTTCTGTTTAGTGTTGGAGCAGGCAGGTGTGGTAGGTGTATGCTGGGAGGAGGAGGAGGCAGGCCAGCTGGTTCAGGGGCCTGGGGGCAAGGAAGGTACAGAAGGCAGTGCCGGGGAGCCAGAGACAAAGAGGGACTTGGGTCTGCTTTTCTCTAGTCTTCAGAAATCTGTGTCTCCTGGGCCTGAAAGTCAACCTAAAGTCTAACTTCATCCCTTCCTGCTGTGTCACCAAGTGTGTAGGCAAAGGCTTGGCAGGTGCTGGAAGCTCTGAGTTATGGAGCAGGGGGTAGAGGGGTGCCCCCAACTACCAGAGCCTTGGCATGACTGCTTTGGAAATAAATCAGAGACAAAGGCAGCATGCGTCCTTAAGAGCTAGGACTTAGGACAGGTACAAGAAAGGAAAAGAGAGCATCTACTGGCTTCTAGTAGTTCAGGAGACTGGGAAGTGCCTGAGCAAGGCTCACTTTCCTTCCTCCTGCTCTAGGACATCACAGTTCTTAAGGATTCTTGAGTGCTTCCAAACCCTGTCTAGGGCAAGGAAATAAGTTAAGTTGGAGACCTATCCAACACCACAGAACCCTGCCGCCCTCTCAAAGGCCATTTTTGTCATATGTGAAGTCTCCTTAGGCTCTCAATTCATATGTAATCTCAATCCAGTAATTCCCACTCCACCCTCTCCTTGTCTCTCCCACTCTTCTACTGACACTGTCCCCCATCCAGGCAGGAGGGAAACTGAGAGGGAAGCCTCCTCTAGTAAAGAGATTCCCACCCCCATACATGAAGCACACATAACAGACGGCCCGTCCTCCGCCCATTTGCACCAGGAATAGCCAGAGACAACTCACAGTTAGTGTTTGTGCAGTGCATGCGTGTGTACACACACCCAGGACTAGTACTGCTGGGGACCTTGAAATGTCACTAAAAACAGATGCCACTGGATTCTCCAGGAACAATGCCATTACCTCCACGTACCCCCGTTCTGTACATGCAGGGTTTTTTCTCCATCTTAAATAGCCCCTCTTAATTAGGCATAAAGAAGGTTAGGGTCTCCGCACCCCCAGCCTCCACTACCAGTAGAAATGATACTAAATAATGCACATGCAAAGATGGACTTGATCATCCAGGGTCCTCACCTCACTCCCCTCTGCCCTGAACAATTTTAATCCCTTTCCCAGCCCACTGCTGCCCAGGAGGCAGGAGCTGCAGGGGCTCCACCCCTCATTGTCCTGCTCTCTTCCAAGCCTATAAAGCTTCCCCAGAAAGGGAAAAACTATGTCCTGAGAGCCCTTGGACTGACTTCAACAACAGTCAACTTTATAGGCAGTAGGACAAAAGAACAACAGCAGGGAGAGAGGAGGACCATCAGAACCCCAGCAGTCAATCAGCTTTAAATGTTAGTATCTCAAAATAGGACCTGGAGCCCAGGATAAATTGGGATATGTTGTTGTTTGGTGGTGATGGTGGTTTGGTTTGGTTTGGTTTGGTTTAGAGACAAGATCTGCCTTTGTAGCCCAGGCTGGCCTTGAACTCACTTTGTAGGTCATGTGGCCTCAAACTCAGAATCCTTCTATTTTCACCTCCTAAGTGCTAGGTTTACAGGCATGTGCCAGCCCCAGGATAAGATTTTTCAGCTAATCTTTAGGCCCTGACCAGGATTTCCCCAGACCCTATTTTCTAACAGATCCCAAGGACAGGGAGGACCTTGGAGAGTGAGGGGCAGCAACTAAGGGAGATGAGATGCACATTTAGACCTCCTCCCCTAAGCTGTCCTCCCAGACTAGGTGGGCCAGAGGGAGGCTCTCTGCAGGTATTGGCCCACAAAACGTTACTGTCAGCATGGCGGTAAATTGTGAAGTTAAGGGAAAGCCCTGTGCCCTCTCAAGTTATTTCTGACCATTGATCCAGGATGGATGGAAAGACAGGCCAGAGAGCAATGCATTAGAGCAGATAAAGCTGCTGAGATGGAGAGCTGGGCAGGTCCAGGGGAGATGGAGTGACAGAACAGGGGGATGGGCAAACACAGAGCCCAGGTGGTCTTTTGGGTCAGTAGGAGTAGCTCTCTCCAGAGTCCTACCCACTTCTCAAGGTGAGCCAGTCTTTCCCACTCAGCCCAGCCCAAGGAAGGCAATGGGCCCAAGGATATCTACCCTAGGCTTGTGGTCCAATATAACCTGGCATTTTTTTTGAGGGATGTTAAGTGGGCTGGTATAGGGTAGGGCTACACATATATTTAACCTCTTCCTCCTCTTCCACCCTAACCTAGATTCGGAGGCGCCGCCCCACCCCTGCCACCCTCGTGCTAACCAGTGACCAGTCATCCCCAGGTAATCCAACGGATGGGTCATGGAGGAAGTGGGGGGTCACTGCAGATGGCAGGATACTAGTGAGAGCAGATGGGTGCTAGATAGAGGATGGACAGGTCTGAGTCATTGGCATCTCTTCCTCAGTCCCCAAAGCAGGGAAGTGGTGGCTGGATCAGCAGGATTTCTTTTGCTTTTGGAAAGATAGAGCAATGCTAGGAAGGGTGGGGGGACCACCTTGTTCCTAAGTCCCCCAGGAATTGGAATGGTCAACTGAGTGTTGGTTGCTGCAGCAACAGCCTTCCCAGTTTCTCCAGCAACTGAAATGCTGCTGCCCCCACTCCCAGAGGCAGTGACAGCTGTGAGGGGGAGGGACCGCCTCCATCAGCTATCTTCAGGGCCCCCAGAGGGGAAAGGGAAGGTTAGGAACAGCTCAGAGAGCAGCTGGATTCCAGTCACCAGTGTCCCCATCAGGGTCTGGGGAGAACAGGTCTGGGAATATGACAAAGGAACTTGACCGGAAGTAGAGGAGAGGTGGCTGGTTGAATGAGCTAGAATAGAAATCAGGATGCCCGAGTCTCCAGCTTCCCTCCAACTATTATAAATGATATATCTTCCTGGATCCTGCACAGAATGAATTTGCTGCTGTAGTTCTTGCTTTGGGGTGGAGGAATGGTTGGAAGGAGAAAAGAGGCACTTCCAAAGTAACTCTAAAGAGATACTTTTTTTTTTTTGGACACAAAAGAGATATACTTTATTTTAAGGCATTAGCAAAACCAAAAATAAGACAGCAAAGATATGTCAAAGCAAATAAAACTAAAAACTAAGATCTACTATGGAACTGTGGATACCACCTGTATCCTTCAAAACATTTGAAAATACAGTAGATATTTAAACATGCGAGTGCCTGACAGCCACTGCCTATGCAATCAACCTCTATGAGTAAATGCACAAATGACTGAACTTTACGACATATAAAGTATGTGTACCATTTCCGTATTTTTCTTTTTTTTTTCTTAATTTCTCTGAACCTCTTTACTTCATCTTTTTTTGTTGTTGTTTTATTATTCATATGTGCATACAAGGCTTGGGTCATTTCTCCCCCCTGCCCCCACCCTCTCCCTTACCACCCACTCCACCCCCTCAATACTTGGCAGAAACTATTTTGCCCTTATCTAGAGAGATACTTTAGATGGAGGAAAAAAAAATTTAAAGACCAAAAATTCTGTTTCAGGGACCTCAAGGTCTGAGTTAAAGATGCAGACACAGACTGACCACAGGGTCAAGGCCATGACTAGATGGAACCAGCTGGTCACACAGGAGGGGAACTGGAGGGAGTAGGCCAACTTCCTGAGGGCAGACCAGGAGAAAAGTGATTGAGGAGTCCCTACTTCTTAGGAACTCAGCTCTTTGGGGATCTCTTGGTTGTCCTGTCCTTATCACCTTCTTTCCCTGTTCCCCTCAGAGATAGATGAAGACCGGATCCCCAATCCACTTCTCAAGGTGAGCTTGCCCCTCTCACTCAGCCCAGCCCAAAGAACCCACAGACTTTGGGGATTATTCCTCAAAACCATTCCTCTCTATATCTGGAGGTGTGACTCAGTGGTAGCCTAGCATTCCCAAGGCCCTGGATTTGATCCCCAGCACACAAAACATATCACCTGCTTCCCACCTGTAAGACCTTTTGATTCCCTCTGCCCTGCATCCCCCAAAAACAGATGAATGCGCATGGGTAAACCTATGTACACGCACGCACGAACGCGCACACACACACACACACACACACACACAAAGTATTCTTATCAGGATAGAAGCAACTGAGAAGAGGAATTTTCTTCTCTCATTTTCTGAAGCCCACACCTAGTCCCAATCTCCAATCCAAAAGCATGACAAGGCAGAGATGGGGAGCAGGAAGGGCTGACACCCATCTGTACTCTGTCCTTCATAGTCCACGTTGGCAATGTCTCCACGGCAACGGAAGAAGATGACAAGGACCACACCCACAATGAAAGGTTTGGCAGACCCTTCCCATCCCCTTTTCCCCTCTGTGCCTGAAGTTGGAGAAGAGAACCAGTGACCCTTTGGAAGGTGTCCTTGGGAGGTCATTGAATCTGCCTTTGTTAGAGTGGAGCTGGAACCCCAAGTCTATCACTGACTAGTGGGTAGCCTTGAAGAAACTGCTTATCCTACCAAGCCTGGAGACTGTCTCACTATGATAGATAAATAATGTATGTGAATTCATCAGTATAGCACACAGCACACAGCACACAGCAGGTACTCAAATATTGCCTGAATCTAAATTGAGTCTTTTCTCCTGTCTCAGGGGAGATCATATATCCCCACAATTTGGGATTATCTTGTTCTTAAAGGTTCTTCCCCTGTACCACCGGCTCTCTCATTGCCTTTGAAAGAAGTACTTTTTATGGACTAGCTTTCATCCTCCTTATTGATGAGCTCCTTGTTTAGTGTTTGGTGCATGGGAAAGGCAAACACCCAGCAATGTATGCTGACAATGTAAAAGCAGTTGGCTTTAGGGAGAGTCTAGGCAATCGTGTCCAATGTTACCTCCCTTTCTCTGTGCCCCAGAGCTCCAGACGATGGTTGAACATCACCTAGGGCAACAGAAGCAAGGAGAAGAGCCTGAGGGAGCCTCCGAGAGCACAGGGACCCAGGAGCCCTGCCCACCTGGGATCCCAGGAGCAGCATCAAGGCTGGGCACCTCTGGGACAGCACAAAGTATGTGCAGGCGAGGGAAGGCCCCAGGCATCCTGTTCCCCAGCCTAGCAAGAGGCAACTCTTACCCACTGGGAGAGGGGAAACTGATGGAGCCTGGGGGAGATCTAATAGTCACCAAAACTCTATCAAGGACATGAATATATTTGCATGTACTTGATTCTTCTTACTGAATGACACTCTTCCCCCTTCCCCCATCTCAGAGATCCCTATTGTGGCTGAGGGGTGGCATGGCAAGAGGGAAATGCCACAATGAGAACAGCCCTCAGCTCTGGAAGAAAGCCAGGGCTAGAATCCTGGCTCTGTCACTTGCCACTTTACCAGCTGAAAGCCTTGAGCAACTTAACTTTGGCATATAAAATGATAATGAGGATGGTACCTATTTCATTGGGCTGTCTGTGAAAATTAAAATGAGTCTGGCTCAGCACCTGACACATACAAAGCATGCAATACATGAGATCTGGTGGTGGTGGTGCTAATCCATGTCCATGTCCCTTATTCTGGATGTATTCAGAATGCTCCCAATTTTATGAAAGTGATACAATATATAATACTGATTATATAATATGACCAGCAGAGTACCCTGTAGTCAAACATGTTAATATTTCTGCAATCCAATGAATGGTCTCACTAAGTAGGGTAAATAAAGACTAAAAATAGCCTTGTATAGGTTCAGGTCAGGTCTAGCCAACATTGAATTTGTACCACAATTTTAAAAACTTTTTTAGAGGCCCTTCCCCTCACCCCCAATTTCTGGTTACAGGTATGATACTGAAGCTATAACAGTAATTGCGCCCAGAGAAAACCCTGTTGGTCTTGCCAATTTGCTCCCAACTTGATCTTGGGCCCCCCTCAAGAGTCACTGGGCAGCAGGATGCTCCCTTCTTGGAGAGAAGCAGCCCCTTCTCCTTCATAAATGCTCCTCTCCCTCCCACCATCCATGTTCCCTCCTTAGAGCCTGCAGAATCCATCCTCAAAACTCAGGAGAGGTGCGGTGAGGAACCCAACACAGAAGAACCCTCAACCCATATACCATCTCGGGATTCCCAGGGAGCCAACTCGGTAAGACCACAGGTGGGCCACCAGGCCTGCAGGAGAGCAGGCTATGTGGGTAAGGTCAAGGAGCTGATAACTGGAATCAGGGATAGGGAGAGGGAGGAGACAACTGACTTCTGTTGAAGAAAAGCCAGCCAAACAGAGGACTTTCATCTCCCCTGACAGAGAAATGGGATTAAGCAGCAGCAGAAAGGACTGATGTTAGATTTCTGGTAGGCCTCTGGCTCCAGGAACAGATGATAGGAGTAGGCTATGGATTTTTTTTTTTTTTTAACATCATTTGGAGCCCAAAGGGAGATCCTCACCTGCTCAAGCTGAGCAAGCACTAGCACTGCCTGAAGGTGGAGGCAGTGAGGAGACAACCCCCTGGGCACTCACTTTACAATCCTCACTCCCCTGCAAAGGTGACAAGAGGTATCTGCTTGAGCAGACCAGAGGGGACAAAATGACCCTCTGGCCTGTCAGTCACCCTCCCTTTTTTGCCCCTTCCCCCACAACAGGTCTGAGAGGAGGAGGTATCCTGGAATCACCACTGCAATTTGGGACTGCATGGACACTGGATCTCTTTCTTATTTCTTCGCTTTTGGGGAAAATGTCTTGTTTTTAAAAAGTGATAAATTTGGTGTTAGGTCCTTGGCACTTTCCTTCTTTGAAGAGTTGGAGAATCCTTTCTCCCTACCCTCTTTTGTGTGCTCTCTACAGCTCTGCCCACCTGTCTAGGGAAGAAGCAAATAGGAAACCTGGTCAGAAGCCTGGAGAAGGAAGTTCTTCCTTAACCTGGCCTTTACTTGCTGTGGGAAGATGGAGATCAGGTAGTAGAAGGAAAACTTCCGGGATGCCAAAAAGGAAAGATAGCTTCAGTTTCTCCTTTCTCATTGAGAAAAGCTCCACCCACCTAGCTGGGCTGCCCAGCTGCTGGAAGACTTAGAGCTAAACTAAGTGCCCTGTTGAGCTGTGGATGATGTGTGCGCCACCTGCTGGACAAAATGGGGAACTTCACTATGGCAGGAGGTGTAGCGTTCCCTCCTCCAGCTGTTCCAACTCCTTAGCAAAGACAGATAGAGGACACAACACGTGTTAGGAGGCTCTCACTGGGAACTTTAAGAGTCATCTCGCCCCTTGTCCTAGGTACTGAGGGTCCAGGATAAGACAAAAACCTAACATAGTAAAGAAATGTGCTCCAATCCCATAAGTCATGCCTCTCCTGAAACTGATTTTTATTTTCCCAGACACTGGAGGAGAGAGGGGGAAAGGGGAAGGCAAGATAATTTGCCTTCCCTGCTGAAGCAACAGTGTGGGTACAGAGAAGAGCAGAACCTGGGAAGGGTAAGGTTCCACCCCTGTCATGCACCAACTGTGTGCCCACAGGCATGCCTCAGTTTACATGTAAGGAGAACACCAGGATTCCATAAGCTTGAAAAAGATAGCGTATGTGAAGATGTTCAGTCAACTTCCACCCAGTGAACACCAGACACAGCCAGCCCAGTCCCCTTCTTTATTGATCTCTGGCTATAGCAGGGGCCTAGGAGACCAAGGCAGGGGTGAGTCACATGCGTCTCTGCCCCACTCAGGTGGGGTGGGAGGGACAAATTTTAGGGTAGCAGGTCTAAGAGACCATGGAGATGGACTTCACAAGAACAGGGCCCACTGTACAAATGCATGGCTGGTATTTACAAGAAAGGAAGAGGGCAGTCACCTGGACTTTGACCTTTTCTGGGGCAGGAGAGGCAAGAAGGAGCCTGAGGACAGGAAGGGGCCTGGCTGGACTCTCTCCAGAGATCATAGCAGCAGTAACCCTGAGCACTTCTCCCATCTGCCTTCCACCTATCAGTGTCCCAGGGGAGGGGGGGGCGTCTCTTGGTGCCTGCAGCTGAACCCGTTCTGGGAGATGGGAGGGACCTTCTTGATAGGCAACACAGGATTACTAGATATGTCTCACCTTCCCTGCACCCTGGATCCCAACCAGGCTAGACTCTCCTGCCTGTGCTCATAAATACATCCTGAAGGTGCTTTGCTGAGAAGACCTCAAAGCACTGTACAGACATTGGTCGGATGGGAGCCTCCTAGCCACAGAGGACAGAAAGGAGGCAAAGGGCTCAAGATTCAGCCAGGGAAGATGACAAGTCCCAGGAGCCCAGACCAGACCCAGTTCTCAAGGACCTGGGAAAGGCCTCCCCTCAGCCCCTGGTCCCAATGGCTCCTCTCTTCCCCTAGTCACCATTTTGGCATGGGAAAGGAGGATTTCAGGGTTGGGCTAGGGATGGGGCTGAAGCAGTGCAACTCTGGGGTAAAGAGGATGCCCTTCCCCACCCCAATCCTAGAAAGATACCATGCCCTGAAGAACCCCCTCTCCTCCCCACAAATAGAGCTTTGAAATCTCCCAGTTTTCTATCCCATTCCAACCCTTCTCAGGGGAGGAGAACAAGAACCCAGACCTGCCAGCAAAGATCTGGGGTGGGGGGGCTGAGGGAACCCCCAAAATGTATTGCTTAGAAACTTGGAGGCAAAAAAGATAAGGGAGGGCCCAGGGGGCTGGCATCTCTGACCCTCCCCTCCAGGCCCTGGGAAGCCTCTAGAAGCTCCCCACTACCAGGTAGCCATCTGGCCATGAGGGAGGGGAGTCCCAAAGCGGGGGGATGGGCACAGTGACCACTGGGAGCCTGAACTTTCCTAGGCTTGCTGCCAGGAAATTAAAGTGCATCCCAGTGGGTGTCAGGTGGGGAGGGGCCCTTCCCCCAACCCCATAATCTCTGGCATTTGGCCTTTAGGTGGGTTGTCTCTTCCACATGACCTTCATGCTCCCTTGGAACAGCTGGGGGAGCCAGTCCCAATGGATGGTGCTAATGACATCAAACACTTTGGACTCAATGAGGACCTGGGGAAAGAGAGAGAAGCCTCAGTGCTCTGGTCTTTGCCTTCATCTCTAGCCTGACCTTCCAAATTCTGCCAGATCCCCACTCATTCCCAAGTACAGCTGCACACAAATGCCCTTCAGAAGTGTGCAAGCCAACAGCAAGAGCTGGGCTGAAACAGAAGTCACATTCTCCTGACTTCGCTGAGTCTTATGCCCTAGCTGTGCTCTTTCCTAAACCCTCACAAAGCCTGGAGCAGAGACCACCCTGTCTGCAGTTGTTCTGTCCTATCTTCTTGCAGGGACTGTGGGACCAAAAAGGGTGGGAAGGTTTCCCTGCTTCCCACCCACACCCCAGCTCAATTCTATACCTTCACTTCATCCATTTTACTGCCTGGAAAGAGGGCAGGAGACCCTCACACCCACCAGACCCCAGAGATGGCTCATCAGAGGCACGGTGATACAGCTCTCCCTCCTGCCTTCACTAGCAACTCACCTGGGCCAACCCCGGGCTAGTCCAGATTCCCATTCTGGTTGTGCTCATCTTCTGCAGGGGAGGCTGGGGTTTCTTCTTCACAGGGAGAAAGCTCATCAATAGACATCTGGTTGGTGATGCCTGCAGAAGGGCACAAAAGAAGCTGATGGTAGACCAAGAAATATTTTCCCCCAAAACACCCAGGAAATATATGAAAAAAAATAGGGAATTCTTATCGATCACCCACCTCCAAGCTGAGCTCCTTTCCTTCTATCCCCACTGGAAGATCCTCTCTAATCTGCAGAAACCCACAACCCCTGACCCCCAAAAGCAGAATCAGAGCCACCAAATTACCAAATCTACAAGGGTATCATTTACAGAGACCATGATGTGCAACCTAAGATGTCCCTTAGGTTGAGGAATACTATGACTATCCCTACCCTCTCTCCAACCCACAATTTAGAACAGTCCAGTCCATTCAGCTAGTCAGCCTTTCCTCTGACCTAATCTTAGCCTGACTGGCTCCTTCCCAACTCTAGGAGTCAAGGAGTTGCCCTAGGGCTAAAGAAGAAAATGGACTTGCTACTGCTCCATTAGCTGCCCCGACAAGGGTCATTTCTCCCCCACCATGGCACCTACCACTGGCTGCCCGTTCCTTCCATTTCTGTTTGTTCTCCTGAATGTACTTGGTCCAGGTGGAGCGGAAGCTGACCACATCAGGGTTGGGGTCACCCACATCCACATCTAGAGAAGGCTGGCGCCACTGGAAGCTAGAAGCAGGACCCCCCCCCAATCCCAATTCCAGATGTGAAACTTGGCTCACTCCAGAACCTACTTCAGAGCTCTCAGAGTGGAGGAGATGGAAGGCCAGGAGGAGGTTTCCTCTACTAGATACCCCACAAGTCCCTGTCCCTCTCCCTACAACTGCACCCCTCTGTCTCCATACCTTCCCACCTAGTAGAAGAAAAACAAAAATGAGATTATCTGAAATGCAATAAAAACAACTAAAGAAGAGACAAAAATATGGTTGTGGGAAATCTAGGTGCATCACACCCTTCCAGTACCATCCTTTCACCCCTAACTGTGACAAGCAGCAAACGGACTCCCAAGCTTGGAGTAGGCTATCTCCCTACTATGACTGCACCTACTCCTACTGCATCCAACTTCCCTCCCCAGAACCACGAGATGGGGCTATCACAGCCACCCTCACCTGGGCTGGTTTTTAGACTTTGAGTCATCATCCACCAGGGGCTGGACACTCTTCTCTGCCACATCAGTCAGCACAGAGAATGTGGGCTCTACAATGAAGTCAATGAAACCTGCAGGGAAGGGGACAAAGCAGTAGAGATGTCTTACCTGGAGGACTGGCCAGAGGATATGGCTAGCATGGCCATGACCTCTGGCTGCAGACAGAACAGTGTGGAGAGGTAACCTGGGACTAAAACTTTCCCTGTGGGGACAACTTTGGGATGATGTCTTTCTGAGCCCAGAAAATCCTCCCACCATTGCAGCCCCTGCCATCAAGACCCCATGCTGTAGCCCAGAGTGATTTGGGGATTGGGGATTTGAAGCAATCCTGACCCAGGCCCAGAGAGCATCCTTTCCCCTGCCCATTCCTCAATTCCGTTTAGCAGAGGACTCACCAATCTGGGACTGGGCCACCAGAGTAGACGTGCGATCACAGAGCGGAGAAAAGGGCAAGCCCAGCTCTGCCTCCTTGTCACCCTAGAGAGAGAGGACAGGGTGGAAAAGCTTGCAGAGGATACTTCAGACCTACCAGATTGGTGGAGCTAGGGTGATGGGACAGTTGTAGTGGGGAGAGGAATTTCTGCACCTTTGATCTGAAAATGAGTAATGTGTGAATGGACACAACTACAGGCAAACATTGTTAAGCATTAAGGGTGGAGAGAATTTTATTCCATAGGTTTGGGATCAGGTCTGAAGCAAAAAGTAACTGAATAAAGATCTGGAGTAGGAATAGGGAATTTTCAGAGCAAAGGAGGCAAAAAGACACCAGGGGCAGGCGGCGGGCAAAGATGCCATTCTACCTGGCGAAAGAATTCTTCCATAAGGGCCTTGGTCCAGCGGCTGTGGACAGACCACTGCTTGGTTGGATGGCTGATGTCAGCAGCATGGAGCAGAAGAGACAGGGCTTTGGACTTGTCAATCCTGGTTGGGAAAAGTGTCAAGGAAAGGCAAAGTGATCTTTTAGGAAGAGGAAACCCAGACAATTCCCTAACTTCCCATCACATGCCCTCTCTCTGACTCACACACACACATCCTTTCACATAACTTCAAAACCCTCTGAAGTAAAGCACACACATGCACACACACCCCCTCTGTGTGGACAGATAGCAGCACAGGTTAGTAGCTAAGAACCCAGCTCTTAGAATCAGAGGGCACAGGTTTCAATCTCCACCATACCTACCACACACTAGCTGTGACACTAAGTAAGTTATATAAAATTTCCTTATTTCTTCAACCCTAAAATGAAAATAACTCTACCACATATCGAGTTCTGAGTATTAAATGACATGCAACAAATAAGTATTTAGAAGAGTGTCTGACACATAATGAGTGCAAGTAGATGTTATTTATAATGATAATCATTATTATTACTATACCCCAACAATGACCTGCTGTGACACTGCACAGTCTCCCACACATAGACATCATACTCAGATTAACACATATCTTCAGGACACATATAAACATAGTCTGTTTTCTCTTACACACATTTTTATATTCCCACCCACTTCTAAGTAGCATTCGATGTAATTATGGCATCTGCTCTGCCTGTTTTTGTTTTTAACCTCTCATGACTCTCCCAATACCCTCTTAGAGTAGGAAATAATGACCAGTTGTTGTAGAAGAGGGCATATCATTTTCACATTTTCAAAGATAAGGACACTATAGTCCAGAAAGGTTAAATGAATTTCCCAACATTCCAGAGTAAGCCTGTCCTGAAGCTGAAATTAGAACTGCCATCCAGACTCCTAGTCCAAAGCACTCTCCATCAGACCACATGCCCAGGCTGTAAATTCAAGACCACATTCACATATACCACACAAACTTACACAGATATACTCAGATAGGCACTTGGAGCCAGGAGACTCTGCACATCCCCATTAAAGACCTGGTACACCAACTACAAAGTATACCCCCAATTCACACAAACTACCCCCAGGCCTGGCCCCAGTCACACCCCTCAATATGCCACCTTTCCAGCTGCTGCAAAGCTGTCCTCATGGTCTTCACTTGCTGGAAATGGCAGGACATGTCTGTGGCCAATACCATCTCAATGACCAGGGCCCGCAGCTCTCTGAATGGACAGAAGAGGAGTGATCAGCCCTCTCAGCACTACTGGGCAGGAGCTCTAGGGAGTGGGAAAAGAAGGCTGGGTAAAAGGCTCTCTTAGGCATGCCACGTGCTGGCTTTGCTCACACAAACTCGTCCTTGGTGAGGTTGATAAAAATGTTCATCTCGTCATCCTGCATCATTCGGAAAACAGAGCTGATGTGGTGATTCTCCAGCACTGAGCGATCATTGTACAGGATGGCACATTCTGACCTGCAAAGCCAAAGGTCTTCATGTCCAACACTGTGGAAGAAACCTCCCCAGCTGCCACTTAGTCCCTCCTGCCCTCATCATGCCCCACCCCTCACTTGGTCTGGATGTGGAAGCTGTTGGTAGTGCCTGTGTGCTCATAGTCATGGATGGCTGCAGCAAAGATGATGGCCAAGAGCTCAATCTCTGACAGGCAGTGCTAGGAGAAAGAGGCAAAGGATGAAAGAGGGCTGGCCCTCCACCAGTTACTACCCAGAGACCTCCCAACACAGTGTAGGTCCCTCAACCACTCTTTCATTCTGCACAGCCAGCTCATAGGTGAATGCAGTCAGATATCTCAGCTCCTAGATTGGCCAGGAACCTTCCTCATTCCAACCTGCCACATTTCCACTGCTTCTCAACACATAAAGTTTTGGTACACCCAGGAATTCTCTAGAGGGAGCTTATCCTATTTGACTATGAAGGCTTTGTGATGCCAAAGAACCAGAGAGAGAAAAATGGCACTGGAAGGATAGCTGAGACTTCCCAGTTCTGAAGCCATGGAAGTTAAATCACAGGAGAGTCATTTCCAGGGCACCTACCACCATTCCTGTGCGCAGCAGGAAGCAATGTACTGTCTGGGTAACGTCAGCTGCATGGATCTGGTTGTGGTAAGGGTTCTTGTACTTCCCATAGCCTGTCTCCAAGGCCTCCAAGAAAGACATCAAAAACACGGTGGGAATCTGCAGTAGGAGGGAGGAAATAAGATATATCAAGGATCTGCAAGAGTGTAGGTGACAGGGCTGAGATCACCAATTCTGACAATCTTTAGAAGGCAGCATGGCATCCAGGTGTGATGGGGGCATGCCTGTAATCCCAGCACTTGGAAAGTTGAGGCAGAAGGATTTCAAGTTCAACACCAGCCTGGGAAACATAGAAAGAGCCTGTCTCAAATCACCATCACCCCCCAAAATGAAGGTAGCATGGCATAGGGAGGAACATGGACTCTGAATATAGGCTCACATCCTGGCTCTACCACCATCTGCTGCCTGCATAACCCTGGACAAGTCAAGTGCCTCCCTGTGCTTCTGATACTTAACTGCAGAATGAAGATAATACCACCTACCTGGAATTTAATGAGATAAATACAAGGCACTTAGTAAGTGCTCTCTGAAGAGTAGCTATAATTATTATTATTTCCCTGGAGAATTCTAAGAAAATGAAAGAAAGCTTCCCTCCTATCTTCTAACCATCCTGCTGCTCCTCAATTCTAATACCTCAGAGAAGGGCTCAAAGCAGGTGAAAGAATAAGATGACCTAGATGGTAGTGTGGCCGAAGTAGTAGAGCAAACTGAGTGAAAAGCCCTAAGTTCAAACCCCAGTAACACCAAAAAAAAAAAAAAAGTTTTAAGAAAGATCTAG